GACAAACAGAACAGAAGAAAATATCCTGTGGAAAGATAGCAAGGCCTCACTTAAACTTGAAGAAGGAAAGGAATGTTAAAGTTTTCTAATCTTCTAATGACCATTACAATATACCAGGTGTTGTTTTTCACCCCAGGATTACTCTCCTCTAATGGGCATGTCTGGAAACAACAAAGAAGATTTGCTTTATCAACTCTAAGAAACTTTGGCGTGGGGAAGAGGAGCTTAGAAGAACGAATACAGGAGGAGAGCAGATACCTCACAGATGCAATTGAGGAAGAAAAAGGTGAGAACTAGAGAGAATAACACTTTAATTATTCTATCAAAAATTGTAGCTCTTCTTTGGAAATGAACATGAAATAACAGAGATGTACCTGAAACATGATGTTTGAATCCAGATCTTTCCTAACGCTTAGTTCAGATGAGGGATTTGGCTTAGCCCATTAGACATATATGACCCTTGGTGCCATGGTCCAGATCTGGATACGGATCCAAAAGTTTGGTGGTGTTTGAGATTCATGTTTTTATATAGGTCAGTAATGGCACTAAATGCTGAGTTGTCAGCCTCCATGTAGCCACACAAATTTACAAAACAGTCCCACAAAAGTGTTCATTGCCAAGACTAATGGCCATGGAGAGAAAGTAGTTCATAATCACATATAAGTAAAACCTCCCTACACGATAACAAAGCTAGAGACCTATGTGAAAACATACAAATGTCTCTTTACATAGCAAAAACTGACTTGAACTGGTAGATTTGATATGCTGCATGCATCAAAATGCAGCTCATCCCATCTATGTGTTTAACAGTTTTTCAATATTCAGATAGGCGACAATGCAGCAAATGTTGCTCAAGGGATATGTATGAGTGTGCGGGAGTGTGTGATATATGCATATGTTCAGGTTTTATTAATGGATTTCATACATACCATATAGTTTATGTCTGTCAACAACTTCCTTCCCCTATTCTAAGAAACCAGAACACGGATTTCTCCCATTTTCTCTTTAGGGCAACCTTTTGACCCTCACTTTAAAATTAATAATGCTGTTTCCAACATAATCTGTTCCGTCACTTTTGGGGACCGGTTTGAATATCATGATAGTCACTTCCAGAAGTTACTGCGGTTGATTGATGAGACTTTGTACCTCCAGGGAACTATTTGGAACCAGGTACAGCTTGTCTGATTTTGATTTTAAACATATGAAAACAATGGGAAACCCCCAGCAGTTTCAGTGGAAGCGGGGCTGAGTGTGACAGTGTTGTCCCAGATTCACTTCTACCATAACCTGATTGCGGCATCCATGCTCTCATTTTCCCCAATAAATCTCTCTCCACCTCAGTTCCCCCTCCGGCTAGTCTCTTTCACTTGGCCCCCCTGAAGGTATCGTGCTAGATCCTCAAACCTGACTTCTCTAGACCAGTGCCACCACCCCACAGGCACTTAACATGATCTCTAATGGGGCTGACAACCCAGTGGGCTGTTTCAGTGGGCATCAGGGAGGTGTGCGTAGGAGAGGGGAAGAAGAAAAGGTGCCAAATCCTCACTGCTCCCAAGCAACTCCCTTCCTTGCTAACACACTGTGCATTGGACTCTGTGCTAAGGGGAGGGTTGGCTCAAGGATCTGTGTGGCAGGGGTAGATCCGCTGGATACTCTTGCAGCAGTGAGGATGGCAGGGTGTCATTACGCAACAGGCCTGGTGGGAGGTGACCCCCGGAGGCAAGGCCAACCTCCCATCAAGGTCAAGGGCTCGTCCAGTTGGCAGCGTCCTCAAGTGGCAGGGACAAATACTGTGTTTTGTAATGGTGATGGCTCACTAACACAGGCTGTGAAAACAGGGGCAATCATGGTTTCCAGGGACACAACATGTTACCCAAAGCTTGTTGGACCTTTCTCCTCTTGTTACCTCCCAGTTCAGAACAGCGTAGTGGGTGAGATGAGACATAATCCTGCCACTGCAGCAGTGGTCATGTTGAGAGGCAAAACACAGTGCCTGGGTCTATCTGCTCATGGGGCTGGGACCAGGCAGTCTCCATTTGTTTTACAAACCCTCCAATACCAAAGTCTAATCTCCGACAAAAACTGCGGTAACATCAGTATTATCAACATCATGTGTCGGAATGTGAGGCCAGATTCTGGCGTTGTGACCTTTATATCCTTCCTCACTTGTAAATCAGTGAATCGTTCCCAGGGTGGCCATTCAGCCGTCTGAAGTGGCTACTAACACACTGCCTCAGGCAATACAGCACATTGTCCTGTAGGGGGCACCAAAGCAATAGGATCAGGAGCTGGTGGCCAGCCCAGCAGTCACAGCAGAGGGCTGAGAGAAGACAGTGCGTATCTTAATGAGAAAGAATGGGCTAGTGGTTAAAACACTGCACTGAGACTCAGGACACCTAGCTTCACTTTCTGGCTCTGTAACAGATGCCTGTGCGGTCTTGGCCAAGTCACTTAATCTCTCTCTGCCTCAGTTCTCACTCTGTAAAATGGAGATATTTCCTTTCTTTCATCCTCTGCCTGTTCTGTCTCTTAGAATTCTAGGCTCCTCAGGTCAGGGCTGACTGTTATGTATATGTAAAGTGCCTACCACCCTGGGGTCCTGATCTTAGTTGAGATTAATGTGGTTTAATAAACACGGTGTCTTCAGCTGAATGCATGTGGGTGTATTAAACCGTCAGATGCCTTTTTCTAAAACTAGGCTAAAACGTATTGTGTTCTGTTTGTATGTCAAAAGCTGTATAACACCTTCCCCGCCATAATGAAGTGGATACCTGGACCCCATCACACCATTTTTAAAAACTGGGAAAATATGAAGTGTTTTGTGGGGGAAATGATTGCAAAGCACAAAGAGGACTGGAATCCATCTGAACCCAGAGACTTCATTGACTGTTATCTGAAGGAAATAGCAAAGGTAAGAGAGCAAAGAACAAAGTGAACAGGAACAAACCACTTCTGTGTTTTAAAAATTAGAAGTAGAATGATAGTAACAGGGCTCACCAGTTGAGTTGTCTGAGCATCTGACCCTCCATTAGTTAACAGTTAGAAACCCCAGGTAGGATGGAACTGATTCAGCAAAGCCTTTAAGCACATGTTTTCCTTTAATCAGCGAGAGCAGGTTCGCTGAAGTCAGTGGGACTACTCGGATGCTTGAGTGCTTTGCTGAATTGGGCCCTAAAAATGTAAGGTTACCTGTGCTTTAGGAGCCAGACCCAAAGCCAGTTGAAGTGCATGGGAGTCTTTCATTGAGTTCACCAGGCCCTCTGCTCAGACCTAAAATCAGCTCCAACTTTTCACTCTCAAGAATGATGCTAAAAGCACAGTCTTTCTCTGTAATGGTGCTGTCCTGGTGCTCTCAACTCTCACCGAAGGCAATGGAAATTCAGGGCACCCAGCACCTTGCAGAATTGAGCCTGGAATGATGTTTCCATGGCTTTGTATAATAGTAATAAATATTGTTGTAGTCCCACCCACATATATCTTTGTTCTAAGGCCGATGCCGACCCTAGTTTCCATGAAGAAAATCTCGTATTTTCCACACTGGATCTTTTTTTTGCTGGAACTGAGACAACGTCTACAACCATCCGCTGGGCTCTGCTGTACATGGCCCTATATCCTGACGTTCAAGGTAAATGGTAATGGTTTATATTTCTAATCTCTTAATAGCTCTTCAATTTCTACACTTAACCCATGCCACATCGGGGACTTTTCACAGAACTCAGAATGTTGATTTATGAAATCTCTGTGCAAAGGTGCTTTCTTCCCACAGTAATCATTTTTCCCCACTCAGAAACCCTTTCTTTTATTGGAATTGTTTCTTTTTTCTGCCCTCAGTTACACCTCCAGCAACTACTGCAAGGGCATGGAGTGCAATCCACAGCTGCAATACCCTTGATTAAAGAGGAAGCTGCCCTTGCGGCTAATTAACAGCACTGGGACTCAGCATACCCAAGTGCTAGTCCAGGCTCTACCTCAGACTTTCTGTGTGACATTGGGCAAATCATTTAATCCTGTAAATGTGGCTTGTGGATTTCTAAAAGGTGGTTCACGGTCAGTGTCCTCTTCAGCCTTGAGATTTAACACACAGAGGCTCCAAGGGGGGACCTATGTTGAAAATAATGGCAGATATAATCTGCTTCATTTAATGCAAAATAGGTGCATTCTTTGGACTCTTTGCAAGCTGCTGGAATAACCCTGTGCCCAAAAAATTTGAGTCTTACCTCACAGAGAAAACCAGCAGATAAATATTTTCAGGCTCCAATATCTCTTGGATTAGACCAGTAATTGATTTGCTATTTTGAATAGGGACAAATACGTATTGATAATGCCTTTACATTTGATTTTGAGAAGTGCAGTAAACGCCTCTTGCCTTCCATATTGGTATTAAAGGAGGTCTTCCTATTATGCCTAAATTACACTTAAAAATTCCTCTCACCTCCTTACCACTGCATTTGTCTCAGGCTAACCAGCAGTAGTTTTCTTATGTATTTGTATGTTCAGATCTCTACATTACTCACTGATGCTGTTTCCAATGCTTGAATCGAGCTTTATTAGGTATAGGCTTAAAATCAATAAACTTTAAACCCTGCACAATTTAAGCTTGTTGTTTCAAGAATGTATTATTCTTGGAACAATAATGAACTCTGCTCTTTTCACAGAGAGAGTGCAAGCGGAGATTGATGCAGTGATTGGCCAGTCTCGCCAGCCAGCCATGGACGACAGGAACAACATGCCATACACCAATGCAGTTATTCATGAAGTGCAAAGGATAAGCAACATCGTGCCTTTGAGTGTGCCCAGAATGGCAACTAGTGACACAACACTGGCCGGATTCTATGTGCCAAAAGTAAGCTGGACAGAAATGTAGTTTTCACTTCTTATCTTGATTTAAGAAATTAATAGAGATGAGCCCAAACCAAAGGCCCAGATAGAAACACCTTCGCACCCCGGAGGACCCAGTTCTGAATCGGAACCCATTTTGGGAATCAACCCAGATCCAGAGCTGCATTTTACAGGTGGCCCCTATTTCTATACTGGGCTAAAATTCCTTAACCAAAACCTTGGATGCTCACATTCTCAAGCTTTGAGGAAGTTGAAATCTAGATCAGACTTTTGCAGTCTGTCTTCATAAAATGAGATGTAAATTATTTATTTTTAATTGCATGAAACCATAGTAAAAGGACTAAGAAGTAGGTCCAACACAAGTTCACCACTGTGGCAACCTTCCATTCTGCTGACAGTAACCCTTCATTAATATAACTTACGGGAAATGTCTGTACACAGTAGCAGGTGGAGAGTGCATTATATCTGCAGATAGCAATTAGGAGTGCAAAAAAGAACTTTAGCGCACACGAGTGTTAGTTTGCAGGAGCACTTGCTGGATTTGCCTAGAGGTATATACTATACACATATACATCATTTGAGGCCAACAACCACCACATCCCTGAAAATTTGGCCCTTAAAAAAGACAGGTGGGTGGATGGGTTGTGCTCCTTTTTGATGCTTTATGCTGTATAAAGAATGCCTGAGAGTTTCTTTTTTCTGCTTGTTTTTTTTTATTAGAAATTCAACCTTGCCTACCCTGTTTTTCCTA